TTGATTATCTTAATTTATAAAAATTACCTAATATCGAAAGCTATTTGAGAAATAATTTGAATGAAAAATTATTCAAATAAAATTTAAAATTAAAAATTATTTCATGATAATGAAATAACATAAAAAATGATCATTATATGATTATTTCAAATAAAATCTAACCTCATAAAATTATATATTATAACGATTTTTTAAATATTTTATTTCAATAATGTCCAACGTATGAAGTTTCATATTTTAAATTGTAAATTGTATAAATTTACATATTTTCTGTTTTTTGTGTAGTATTTAATGTCATTTTATCTACTGTAGATCATTAAAATTTAAACATTCATCATTCTGCTAAAAATAGAAGAATATTTTAGAAAACTGATTTAAAAATTACATGTAAATTTCGTGTCACAAAACTTTTGTAAATAAAATTTTTCATATATCTAAAAATAAGAGATATAATCAAGGTGATTAAAATTTGTGTGTAGGTTTATTCATTATTCTATCCTTTAGTATTTTACTTATATTTTTCAATATTTCCTTCAGTTTTTTCCAATATATTATATCAAACATTACTTTTAGTTTGATAAAGCAAACCATTGATTTTTTTACTTTTTTTGCAGTGCTCATTACGATAACATGAATGCTTCTTATTATTTCTATTATCCGTTTTCTCTTCGTTTTTCTCTTTCTATTATTTCTCTATTATCCTTTTTCTCTTTTTTCCCTACATATTTTCCTTTAATCTTTTTGATAATTTTGCGAATTTAATTTAATTTTCTGGTTTATATATATATATATATATATTCAAGAGACTATTATCGGATCTTTCTCTTTTTTGTTCTTATCGCTATAATTTATATCTTAATTTTCATTTTAATTCTTTTCATTCTTCAGCTTTTTCTATTTCATATTATACCATCCTCCATTTCATGATTATAGATTCGTCATATAACATAGAATTATTCTTCAGAATATTAATTTACTGCAACCATTTCTTTTCACTTCAATCCTCTTATATAAAATGTTCCATAATATGTAGGATTTACTTTAGAAATTGATTATATACCTGAAAACAATGAAAAAGTATAATAAGTAAGATACATGTATATCTATTTGATATCTTTCTTTCTTTTAATTCTTATAAAGTCTGTACATCGAATATTTTTGTTTGTTTTGTTAAACTTTATTTTTATATTAATACTTTGGTAAAATAAAAGTATCAATAAGCTTTAACTGTTATGTACTACAAAGTTTTTCATAATTTTACTTTTAATTAACATATATGATGCTAGCAAGTGTTTTAATAATTCTCAATTAAGTTAACTCTTAAAATTTACAACTCTAAATTTTCACAGATAGTGGAATATCTTAGAATTATAAAATCAAAGAATTATTATACATATTTATTATTAATTTTATTATAATAATACAACGTAAGGAATATAATTAAGGATTTCATTGTATTAAAAAAAAAAAAAAATTAAAACTTCAATTACTATTCTTCTTATTTTTTTACATTTGCATTCTTTTGAATTATAGTGATCCAATGAAAAGAAATATTTTAGAAATATTTAATATATAACAAAAAATAGAATACACATTTGTACAAACTTTCTTCATTATTTTCAAATATACAACCAATTTCTGAAATTCCACATATTTTGAAACATTGTATAATCTATTTTATTTTCATTTCTTCATTTTAAATTCCCTTCCCGAACATCTAACACTATTTTTCACCTATATTTCTCTCTTTCAAGCACATGGTTTACTACTTTTCTAAAGTGGTCATTCCACTCCTCCTATCTTGAACCTCTCTTTCACTCCCTTTCCCCTTTTCTTTTCTTCATTCATCACTCTCTCTCTCTCTCTCTAGACGTCCTTTCCGTATCTGATCTTTCTGATCTCTTTTAAAATCTCCTGTCTGTTTCTTTCTTCTTTTCCCCCTTTTATAAGCTACCATTTTTTTTTTCTTTTTCCTTTATATTCCTCCCCTTTCCCTTCCACCCTTTCACCATCTCCTTAGCGCTTTCTTCGCTTCGGCCCACTTTTCTCAACACTCATCCGACTCACCATTTTCTCCCCTTTCCGGTTCTCTCTTCTCTTTTTCCACTTAACCGATCCCTTTGTTGCTGTTTCCAGATTCTCCGCTATTTTGCTCGTATCCTTCTTTCTTTTATCAAGATATGTTTCACATCATATAGTAATAGTTTTCTTGTGAACAATTGATTTATTATTTACAACATCGACGAACATCGCTTTTCATCATCGAAGCTAAATATTTTAGATAATAATAAGATTAATTTTTTTTTTAGTAAAAGGAATTAGATAAATTATATACATTATGTTTGGTATGTATAGGAGTTTTAATGTTATTGCTATTATAACACGTTGTACGATATTTCTTTCAATCTTTAGAGACATTGATTTTTATATTTTATACTTTATAATTGTAATACTGTTATATGAATTATGCACCATATTTATTGCACAATTACTTGGTATTGCTGAAAATATTTTAATTATTTTACATTTTGTAAATTTTAGATTAATCAATCACTAGAAATATTGTTCATGAATTATTATTAATTAAACTCTTTGTTAGAACAAATAAACAAAGTCATTATATATAATATTATTTGCTATGTAAAATAATAAATTCGTTTGAATTTCTTTAAAAAAGTCATAAGTATTTTTACATAAAATTTATTTATTATTAATCAAAATATATAAATAATATAATTGTTTTTTTTATTCTTTTGATTTTATTAATCATTTAATACATGAAATAATTTAGTCATTCTATGACATTTGAAATTTTTCCATAAAGAATGTTTCTTAAATTGAAAAAAATTCAATAAAGATTAAAAGCAAACTGGAATTATTTTTCTTGCATTACAAAAATAGTGTACAATTTGATTTAATAATATTATATTCCACAATTGAATTCAAATATTTGAAATTTTGTTTATTTTTTCTTTGAATATATCTTCTATTCATGCTTATTCACTATAGCACAAATAATATTTTCATAATGTTTTTTTAAAATAAATAAATAAAGATAAACCAATTTATTATTTAATCTGATAAATATATATATCTGCATGTACAGTTTAATCATTGGGACTTATAAATTCATATATTTATTACATATAATTATATTTCTATTGTACTAAGGATAATTATTATGAAACTATAATCTTTCAAAAATCTCTGTCAAGTATAATAACACAAAACTTTATCGATTATAATATATTAGGTTGACGCAAATTTTCTTGTCTTGATTAGCAAGACAGCACCATTTTATAAAGGTTATTTTCCCAGCACTGCTATTTGTGTATTATATAGGATTATTGGTCTAAAAATCTTTATCTATTAGTTTGCACATATCTGGTTTGTCATCATGGTTTAGTTTAACATTTACAAAATTATCAAATTTTCTTATCAAATTCTGTATAGACATTAGGTCTTTCTATCATAATTACGCTCTTTGGCATTTATATTTTGATACGTATATATATATATATATATACATAGTTACGCTTGTTGCGCTTAGGGGCAACAAGGACACTTAGCTGGTCTCTTTCCCGAGTTTTCGAATAGGCTTAGGATTTTAAAGTTATTAGTTTAGAGAGCACTAGATTTCTTCTATATTTCGCATGAGTTTCGAATTTATTAGACAAGTAATGATTTCGTTGTTTCGAATATTTCTCGAGTTACCGTTTGTTCAATTTTGCTTGCTTTGCATGCTCCTCTGGTATTTTCGTTTCTGGCCGAGGTGGCAGAACAGAGCGTCTTACGAATATCATTGATACGATTATATGTTAGATATTTATTTTTTGACTTAACAATTTTTTCAAGAAAACGCTCTGTAATGCTGTGGGTGTCTATCACGCTATAATTAACATTCTATACTATCCACGTTGAAACTTTCACTTTTACATTCAAAAGCATCCAAATACCCAAATATAGACAGAATATGAATGAACTGAATTTTAAAAAATAGAGAATCTAAAAGGAAAAATAAAATATTGGAAGTGAAACATAGAAGAGAGAATATTCTTTCTTCTGTGTGTATGGAAGAAAATGTAATATGGTGTCTGGAAGCTTATGAATGCGATATATAAAACAATATATATATCTATACATATATATATATAAATATTTTGATGTTAGCTGTAATGAATGTTCACATTACATACACGTTTAAATATTTTTATACGTTTCAATGCATATCACTAATAATATAAGATTTTGTTTTTCCATCTGTGAGAAATCCTGTAAAAAAACTTAGAAGATAAAATTTCAGTATAAAATCGAGATTTAGATTATCATCATTAATAATAATAAAAGTAATAGATTCATATAGTAAATGAATTTTATATGATTTTATTTATAAATTGAAGGAGAATTCATATTATTAATTGTAAATAACTTAGTAATTATAAGCAGTAGTAATACAATGATTAAGTTAAAAATATAATAGCAATGGAATTTTATATAATAATACCTTGAAATTATTAGAATTTATTAGTGCTATTTACATATTTGTTACGTTCCACTTAGAATTTCCTTTCTTCCATAACGTTATTCATTTTAATAATATTGGATTAAAACGTTTTACAGAATATCTCAAGCTATTTAACTCAAACTATTAATTTAACTAATGCTTTGTCATGCTTGATTATTCTTTACGTATCATATATATATATATAGCATATTAAAATCCATATTTTATAATATATTTCAACATAAATTATTTTTATTAGTTTATAAATTATTTACGGTATATATTATTTTCTTTCGAATATTTATTTAAATTGAAACAAACTTAGTTTGCATTGATATAAACGCTTTGCCCTATTTGTTGAGCACCTGTTCTCACCTATTATTTCATAATCACTAATTTACGCGTAAATGTTTCTTATTTGTGAGTAAAAAGTAACTGTGATACTTTTTATGACATTTTTAAAGGATGTAGAATATTATGCAAAACTTTATCTTAGGTTATGCTTCACGAAGTTGAAGTTATTGCTGTTGGCAATCGAGATAAAGGGCGAAGGAGGTGGCGACAGTAAGATATCAATTAATCCACGTGGTGCCAAGATCGTAGCAAATACTCAGGGATTCTTCATTGCTCAATCTGCCGACGAAGTGAAGCGGTGAGAATAAATTCTTTCTATAATGAAATCACTGAAGATGAACCTCGTTTTAAAGTGAGAATTTTATCATAAATTTTCTTACCTAGATTCTATAATAATCATAAATCTCTCTAAAATGGATCCATTTTTTAGAATATCATTTTTCAATTAAATTACATAACATAACGAAAAATGTGATTGTGTTAAATTTAAAAAAATGTTTTAATTTTTCATTGATTTTTACTCTTTTTTTTTTTAGAAGAGTAAAAAAATATTTCAGCATTCTTAAAATAATAATTTAATTTCAATAAATCTGATTTTTTTTTAAATAAAGCATTTTATTATTAATAAACGACTAATCATTCTATATTTCGTATATTTTTCCAGGGCGTGGTTCTATTGCAAAGCATGCCACGAGGATATAAAAGACGAAACTCTGATCAAGAAGTGCAAGTGCAAAAATTGTAAGTCTTTCTAGTCTAGTGATATCTCTTAATCGACAATATTTAATTCTTGCTGAAAATTTTCTGCTATCGAATTTCTTAACCAAACTCCGAATTATTATCAAAGTTACTTTATATAAAATATATATATAAATACGTGAATATTAATTAACGTAACATCTCTCTGTACATAGAGCGCGCTGAATGTGTTAAAAAAAAAAAAAAAAAAAATAGCGAATCACACACCATTCGATCCTTAATTTCGAAGAGCGCAACAAGTTGCGACAAAATATGGATCGAAACCAATTTCGTGTGACTCGACAAAAAAAAAAAAAAAAAAAAAGAATAAACGATTCTTATATACGACTTTACATAGACTAACGTGTAAGACCAGACGTATCACACAGGAAGCTCTCTTTTTCCATGATATTCCTTCGCCCTTTCCTCTTTCTTTTTCTCTGTGTCCTTCTGCCACTGAAAGCCGTAGCAGTAATTACCGCGACAATTAACCAAGTGACATGGTTGTGACCATCCTCTTGTGATATATGATCTAGTGGGGCAGCAGCAGCGCTCCTGGGGCCGGGACTTAGGTAACGTCTCACACTCGCTCGCTTAGTCTTTATCTATCTCTCGTTTATGACTATCCCCCTCTTTATGTCTTCGTTCTTTTCTTTCTCCTTTGCCTATCTTTTTCTTGCCTACTTATTTCCCCTCCCTCCCCCTTTTTTTCCATCTCTTTTTCCACGTTTCTCTCTCTCTCTCTCTCTCTTCTCTCTGTCTCTATCTCTCGTCCCCTCTCCTTCTTTACT